AAACAAGTCGCCAATTTTTTTTCTAGAAAGCATTTTGCCAGACTTGGTCCACTTCAAGGGAACCAGACCAACAAGTTTGAACACGTTACAATAATTCAGGTTTTGTATGAACTGTTAGACTATGCATCATATCTGTATACCCTTTGGAGTTGTTTACCAATTCTTAAGCATTTCTAGCTCGGCATTTGTCATCTCTCTAGAATGTAGCGTTTTGCCATTTACAATTAGTCAATGTCATTAATGGGTATCTAAAGAGTTTCTTTGTAAAATATTGGTTCATGCTTGAAACTCCACAGCACTGAGGACATAGCTTCATTTGAATTCCTCTGACAGCCAGCAGCTATTGTTTTCCTGCAGATTTACGATCCTGGGTTACACCTTCAACATTAAACTCCCGATGTTAATATGTTTCTCATAGAGTGCACTGCCACCGAACCTGGCTGGCTTTAATTTATTGAGGCCCGGAGGTGACGCTGACAGTGCACTCCACAGAATACAGCAGGAAAACAGGCCGGGCCGTGCTCCAAAAGCCTGGGAGATGTCGCCCGCGACTCTGCTTGCGTTCCAAACGGCTCGATGGAAAGTGAAAGGTGAGACCGTTGTAGGGCAGCCAGACGTAACAGTGATCAGAGCATCGGAGCCATTGGAACAGACAGGAGTCACCCAGTCGCAGCCGCAGAAAAATATTAGAAGAACTTCACAACAGATAAAACAAGTCCTTCCTATCTTAGCAGGAGATACATAGCTTTAATTGTGGCTATGAAAGTGATTATCATAATGGCACTGTAATAATACCACACTACATCTGGCTTGTGTTCATACCTGCATTTGAAAGCCAGATCCCATCAGACCTGAAGCTAAGAAAGCCAACCCTGGTTAGTACTGTAATGGGAGACCTCTGGGAACTCCAGGTGCCACAGTGGGGCGGATTCGGCTCTAAAGTGGTGGTCAGAGGGACCGATGGCACATACCGGTTGCCTCGCTTCTGTCCGTGTGCCCCAGGATGAATGAATACTGACGTGTGAAGCGTCTTTGAGTGTCCAGAATAGGGTTAAATAAAACCGATACATTACTAGTACTTTACTGTGTTATGTTTCAGCAGTACATAAGGTTGGATATTGCATTGATTCTACGTGGTTCATATTACACAGATATATGGGTCAGTTGGGTACACTGTGCAGCACAAGGGTAGAGTTCCTAATATTGGAACGCGAGCATAGTCTGTGAACAGTGAGTGTATCTGTTGTTGAAATTGAAACTTTCTTACCTTTTGTTCTGCCTTTTTACTTTGGTTTGTTGTTATCATAGATTGTAAGCATAATTGTAATGCCCTGTATTTGTTTGAATATGGATTGAGAACACTAATTGTATCGCAAGTTCCGTGAGTCATGCGGGTTTTAAATCCGGCACTTTTCGTTAATTTATTTGATTTTGTAATTATAAGTATAGCTCATTTTTCAAATCCACTTAGAATGAAACGGATGGATGGTCCAATAACACACACGTCCAAAAGTCAAACACACACACACACACACACACACACACGATGCATAGTCCCTCAAGGCTTTTAACATTACTTTTGGATTAATGGACAGATGCTAGCTGCCACTCCCCAGCACTAATACCCATTTAGTATACATTATTTTGTGTTGGAGATTTGCCTAAAAGCAAGACCCTATCAGACACTCTTCCCTTGGGCCTGTGACCTTAGCCAACCTGCCATTGGACCCATTTCCTGCTTTCTTCTTGCCTTCGTTCTTATATCTAAACGAAATAGAAATAGTGGCCCAAGTGCCTGTGTGATCTGACTAAAGCTCGTGTGATTTCCCTTGAGAAGGCCATGGCAGTCCCTGCATTGCCGGCTGGCGCTGAGGGCTGCGTGCCTCTCCTATCTTCACAGCTGACAGGAGGAGAATGCTGGAGATAGACAAAGCAGTGTGGATGTGGGGGAAATTGAAATATTCTAATGCAAAGTGGGTGTGAACAAGCCTGTCACTGCGGGTGTATGGAAAATAGAGCTTTAGATTGGGCTTCTGTGGAGGTGTCAGAGTCGTGTGTCGCTTTATTGTGAGCATAAATGACTAATGGGTTACCGTGGATAATTATTATGTCTTCAATGAGTGCAGAAATTAAAGGTTTCTGATTATATTCTGCCAAATATACGTTGCCTTTGGACAGGTATGATTTTAAATACTTTCTTTTAATTTGTTTTTGGTTGTGTGTGGTTCAATCTAAATCCAATCGTTTAAAAACAAAAATGAAGGTGCTTTTGAATATTGTTCATATTTTCAGAGCAGATTGATACAAGCAGAAGAAAAAACTGTTGGCAAAATCATACAATGTTGATTGTTTTACAAGCAGCTAAAAGCCAGGGTACCTAAAACCACATACGATGTAACAGTGTATGTAGATCAGCTTTTTCACGCTTTCAAGTGGAAAGAGGACCACCCTCATTAGCTGCAAAAAGTGTCAAATACTAACTCACAGGGCTCCTTCTTATGCAAATAACCACATTAAGACGGCTTGTTGTGGTCTCACATTTTACTTTTTCTACTTTCTTTCTGTTGAGTCAAACGAATGGCATTTTATAAAACAAAAAAGCTTCAATACATTATCTGGATATCATCTGATTGAAAGAAAAAAGTTAAAACGTATGATCATAAATCAACTAACTTGTCATTCCAGATTATATCTGACATGAAAAGGAAGTTTAGCATCAGACTGCTGCTCGAGCGTCAGAAGACTTCTTTCTTGGCAGTTGTGTCTGTTCATTCCATCAGAGTCTGAGTCCTGCCCTTGATCAACAACACGAGTGGGCGTTGCTAGCCAACCGTTTGCGATGGCTGCCGTCCAAGCACATGACACAGCCGTTACTGGGAACATTTCACCGGAGTCTTCTTATCGGCTGCTGATCGCCACCAGACATTCCACCGTTGTCTCCTTCTTCAATTTCACTGTGGCCACAACAAACAAAATGTGTGTGCAAATAAAACAAAGGGAAATACGATAAGGACATGGAATTTTATGTTTATGCTGAAATCTTAACACAACGTTGTATAAAAGTTGCGTTTCTGCTTTTGCCAGACAGCTTTTTGTGTCTATTGTAACAAGATACTAAGATTGGTAGTGTATCTGGTGTTCATTATAATCCCTAAATTATACAACCAGATATTCAGATATTGTAATGGTTTAGAAGAATAGAGAGCCATTCTTGAATAAGCCTCACATTTAAGAGAAACATTCTTTGTCCTACAATGGGGGAAATTCAATGCTGAGGTACCTAACTTGTCTTTTCAAATAATACCACATTGTTTGTCCCGTCAGAATGAGTATTGTAAAATTAAACTCAACAAATGGTTTTATAATGACTTCATTTTATTAGAAAATATTTGATAATTTCTACTTGTCTATCTGGAAAATCTGATCTAAAGATGTGACAAAAAAGGCAAAACATACACGCAAACTAGGGATAAAACCAAACTTCTGAAAGCCGGGAACTGGTTGGATAGATTTAATTACAAACAAAATAATTTTTGTGGTTTGAAAGTTAGGTGTCTTTAAGTCAGGGGTGTCCAAACTTTTCACTAAGAGGGCCACTTTAGGTCACTAGACTAGTCCAGGAGCCGACATCACGGACTGAAAAACTGTCTTGACTGGCATCGGGCTGTTCTGAGAGTTATGATGAGCTATAACAGAGCTGAAGTTGGCTGAAAGACAAATGTTTACCATCTCTCTAGCTACATTAGCACCATTAATTAAAGTAACACAATCAAAACACACGTCAGTACAGCATATGCACATAAACAAAGTGAACTTGTGTTTATGATCTCAAGGACTACTTTGGGTTAGCAAGGCAGAGGGCCACATACAATGACACTGAGGGCCGCAATTGGCCCCCGGGCCTGAGTTTGGACATGCCTGCTTTAAGTGAAACAAATCAAAGACAAGGCTGTGACGGCTCACTAGCTTATAATCTTCATTAGTTAGTGCTTTTAATTATATCTATGGAGATGGAATCACGCTCTATAAATACCATTTTAGTTCCACAACTTATTAGACTATATGTTAAAAGCCTAAAGTAGAAGATTATACATTTTCATAATATTTAGATAGAACACAAGGCTTTACTAACGGAATAATACACAGTCAAACCCATCCGACTCCCAATCACTTCATCAGTATGTACCAACGCGGTCGTTTTGATCGCTGCTGATTTTTCTTATCCCCTCCTGCCGCCATATCAGTTTTCAGAAACCAGCACGACGGTATTAATCACTGCCAGGCTGACACTTGTTTTGGGGCAAGCTTCTTGGAGGATTTGTCTGTGGTTTGTTTTCTGTCTGGGATTAACAACAGGACAGGCAACCACTCTGAATATCTTTGTGCTCCTCTGCATTCCACTCGACAGGTTGACAGTACAATGGGAGCTTTGAAATCATCCCTTTGTGTAAATATGACGAAGAAGACATTTAATTACACCTATATTTTTTTTGTTTAGAAAGTCCTAAACAATAGACAGGGCTTGTGTTGTTGTATTTTTAACCTTTGGAGCGCTGCCATCTGTGCTAGTTGTCAGGAAATTTCACCACTGGAAAAACTAACAGAATTGACCTCAACCTGGCGCTCTTTCTCCGTTCCGCTACACACAATTTGTCTGTGAATCTTTAGCACTTTTGGACACACTATGACAGGATGTAAACAGACTTTTATCATGATTTGAACGTTAAACAGCTTGACAGACTGATAAACTGCCAGTGTGTGTGTGTGTTTTTCTTCTTCTTCTCCACACAATTCCAGAAGAGATGGTTGGAATGCTGTGTGGGATTTGTCTTTGCTGGTTCCCTTTTTTTCCTTGTCATGGTGTCAAGTATGATCACAAAAGCTTCTGCGTACTCTCGCTTTTGGATTCCGTCTGTGCACACTTCAACCACTGCTATTTAAAAATGTTCTGAGGCTAACCACAGTCTTTCTGTCTGTTTTCTTTCCCCGCAGAGACATTGATGGACACGCGGGTGGCCACAGCGGAGTTAGGCTGGACAGCGTACCCAAATTCTGGGGTGAGTGGGACACGCAATTCAATTTGACACTGACTGACTGACTTTTTTTGGAGAAATCTGTTTCCGAACTGATGTCAAATTGATAAATATCCAACGGTTGTTTTTAACCAGAACGCTTGAGGCTGCGGCCAGTTCAGATGCTGCAGTATTATTGGATGAATTAGGATTAGGGTTGGAAGTCATAATTTAGAAGTTATTTCAGTGCTTCATTCTACCCATTTTCAAACCTGTGTTCCTGTAAAGACATATGAAATTGTGTTCTGCAGGTTTGAAATAAATCAAACCAAAATCTAGAAATTTAGAAATCACCAACCAACATCCAAAGGCATTGATCGGTTGATGTTAAAGAATTGATTCGTAATTCCAACACTACATGTCTGACTCTATAGATGTGCAATGAATTAACATAAAACGTATGAGTAAGTTATTATTTTATCCTCTGCTCTTGATTCAAATACAAAACATATTCATCTGTTGTTCTGTAATGGCAGTAAGACCAGCCGATAGGTGAGCCACATGTTTTCTACTCTAAAGAGACAAATTCTGTGTCATAAGGAAGCGGAAAGAACAGCCTTGAGTTACACACAGGTGAGGGTCGTCTTATCTTGTAAATGAGCACATTTACTGATGAATAGAACCACACTGATTACATTACAGGTCTGGGTGGGTATGTTCTTTTTATTGTTTATACTCTTACGCAAATTCCACACAGTCTGATAGTGAGATAATGAGGAGCAATGACTCAACGTTTAGACTATTGCACATCAACAAGGTCTCTGGAGACAGACAACGAACTTTTATTCTCAATGATTCTCACAATACTGGTCAAAATCTGACATTTTGTTTCATTAATAGTTTTAGGTGAATAAACGCTGAACGCTTAAGTAAACTTATTTCCATAAGTTACGTTGTTAGATTTCAGAAGCTAAGCTGTGTGAAGCCTGGTTTTAGTGCTGTGATGGGAGACTGCATGGGGATAAATGGTGCATCACTGGGATGGTTGTAAATGCGAGTTGCTTTTCTGCAAAAGTAATTCATCTTTATATCCCACTTATAAATAATTGAACAGTGCTGTGACCTAGATTTGATCTAATGGCATCGTTGGGATTTTAAATTGGCTAAATGCGTTATAGTGAGGGACCACTGTATTCCTAAATCCAGTCACAAATATCCAAAACAGATTTACTTGATAACTGATTGCTTCACTCCACAACAAAGCATCGTACACTGTCTCAAAATGCGACTTGTGTCCGTAGGGAGTCACACGCTAAATAAAAAATGATGGAGGCGGATGGACCGGCCAACAATAGTAGAGAAGAGTTAGTGCCCAACATGGCTGCTATCAGGGCTATTATTTTCTCAGTGTCCCGGCTGGTAATGACTTAATAACATAATGGGCCCATGAAAGCCCAGGACACAGTACCTTAGTCCTTGCAAATGGTGGCTGCGGGGATCCCATAGACATAATGATTTGGTAATGATACATTTATCCAGGGAAGAGAAAGTATTAAAACTGTAGAGGAGTCAGGAGTGCCCAAGGCTTTGATTTGATGCCAAACCGTTCTGACATCCAGGACATTTCATGCTAATTTGGATTGGGAAGAATAAAAATTCCATGTAATAGAACTAAGCTTTCATTTTGTCAATATCAGTGTGATTGCTCTATCACTGTAATCGGCCAAAAGAGAAGTTTAAGGCTTTGTTCTGCACTCTGTAATTTGATAACTCCATAAAAGGCGTATATGGCACAGACTTGGGGAAACAATCAGGAGCAGACATTGATAGATTTGCTATTTTCCAGCTCTTTGGGACTTTATGAGCCTTTTTACACAGGTCAAATAACAATTTACTGATCCCTTTGAATGTGAAATAGTCGTCTGACATGTTTCAAATGAATATGAATGGATATAGATTGATCTCTAGAGCCTTTTAGATAGACATTTCATTTTTAACTTACAATGAAAGAGGCCATTGTGGCATTGTCTCTATAACACTGCCATTCCAAACATACTGTATTTGGACCAAATTAAGTCCAAATACTGCATAAGTTAATATTAAAGTTATGGATTATACTATCAAATATAAAGATTATATTTTCGTAATTGTAAATCATCCATCATGTGTGTTTTTTCTTGGGAATTTTGTGTTCCTTTGGGCTTCTAAAATTTATGACAATAAAGTGTGGAACATTCAAGGCAGAGCAGAACCGTGTTAATTTCTTATACATTGAAATGATCTGAACTCTGAACAATTGTAAAGCGCTTTGGTTGACCTTGGTCTGTAAAAATGCGCTATGTAATTAAACTTTACTTACTTGCATTCAACAACAAATATACAGTAAATCATATGGGAATTTGCAACCTATACGATACTCAACTTGACCTGCCAGTTGCAACACTAAAATTCCCTTTTGAGATCCTAATTGAAATGTCGTCATGAAGTAAAAGCATATCCGGCACAGTGTTTCTGACAAGTATTCATTTTTTTTCACACACGTTGCCTTTTCTTCCTGTCTGACAAGGAGCTATCAAGGCCTTGATAAAGACATCCCTGCTGTTTCAGACGTGTTGACTGGAGTAAGCCTTCGGGCACATGAAGCCTCTGTTAAGCTTGGATTTCAAAGCTTTGACTGTTGTAAGGGTTCTGGCAGTGGGAGACCAGGATCACTCCAGTACTGGTGGAAGAGTCGGCAGGGTAAAGAGCGGGATGTCCGTCAATATGGTGCAAGATTCCAATATCTACACTCCATCAACAATTGCGGCGCCTGTTGGCCTCGCTTGGTTTCTGAATTCCTAGTCCCATTCGATTTAGTGAAGGTTTTTCTTCTCCGAGACAAATCTATGCTCTTCATTTGTTCTGGATTGAATAAATAGTTTGGATTGAATTTTCCACCATTACTGCTCCATTTTCAGCATATTTCGGGCTAAACAGCTGGCTGACCTGTTCGACTCATACATTTAAGAACCTGGCTGACAAAAAAGAATAATACAATTTCTGGTGGAGGTGAATTTGGTCTTGGTAGATTAGACTAGATATTGCCATGTTATTACACACGTTAGGAATGGACAAGGACTCTTTAGTTCAGGTCAAGAATAATGATAAATTACCACTTTATACTGAGCTGATCATATTTTGGGAAGTAGAGGAGCGAGAGCTTATTTTGATAAGAAGATTGCTCTTTTATACTGTGGTTATAATCTGTAAGACTCCAATAAGAAGACCACAAAGGAGATTTATAGTGAAAGCAGATATGAAATTGGTTGGTTTGCGAGAACAATATAGAAGCCGATCAGCCCTAATCCTGTGAGGAAAAGTGATCCAAATTCATGGTTACTGACCCCAGCTTCAACAATATTGCACTATAGGGCTACTGAACAATATGTACTGCCAATGCATGACATTGCGGATAATGCAGTCGATATGAAGGAGCATGAAATTGATCGTCACAGGCACGGATTGACTGTACCGTATGACATAATAAGCATAATGTACATGATAGAACATTAGCTGAAGGTGAACTTGAGACAAAATCAATGTTATTATAAGCCCTCGTGGGATTGGACATAGACCTTAATGCAGTGCAGTGTAAAGAGTGACACGTTTTATGACACATTCTCATTTTAATAATGATTTATGGGTGTATGGAGCTGGTGTTTAAGCAGTCACTGTGCTGCTATCTTGCTCTTAAATATGCATACGGCGGGGAGACTGTCCCGACTCTCCGACATGTCTCATTAACTTTGTGGAGGAGTTCTGGACACGATAGCTCCTCAAGTGTTTGTGTTGAGATGACCCGCAGGGTTAATTCTGAAGGATTAAAGATGGACTGTCATTAGTTCCAGTAAGAGAGAGTTCAGGGTGAATTCGAGTGACTTTCTAAATCAGGGACTTGTATGAATTCAAGTGTTATAGTGTAGGATGGCGGGCTTGACGAGACACAGTTGCAGTAACATAAACTGCTCAGTCCTGTTCACAGTTTTCAATGTTGTTTGTTATCATTTTAACAAGATGCATATTTTTGAGCTTATAAAGATCAACTTGTACTTGTTTTAGAATGTGAGATGGATAGATAAGATACTTTATTGATCCCCTTAGGAGAAATTCAGGCAGCAGAAGACTCATCCAGGTTTGTTGTACAGTCTGACACCTGAAGGAACAAATGATCTCTTGAAACATTCCGTTCGGCAGCGCAGTGATAGGAGCTTGTTGCTACGATTACTCCTCTGAGCGGCCATAGTGTCATGCAGAGGGTGCCTGGAGTTACCCAGGATGCCCTGCATTACTGTAGAACCCTCATCCTTCTCTCCAGCACAGCTCCCACAGAGTCCACACTTCTCCCCATCACAGAGACACATTTCCTGATCAGCCTGTCGAGCCGGTAAATAGGATCTTAAGTAGAGTATTTAGAAGTATGAAGGAGGAAAATGCTCTCAGCCTGAAACTCTGTATGCTACCACCAGAGGCGGGAAAATAATGTTTTTTTGTTTTTTTTCCAAATTTGAAAATTGGATTGTAAAGGACGTATTTTCACATGAGAAATTACCGCAACCTATGTGTGGGGAATACTTTTATTTTAGAAGCCAAAAAAACTGCTCTCAGCATGATGTCATAATTACATCATACCATTACAGGACTGAGAGAGTAAGTAATCTCGAGTAATCTTTAGTAATCTTTATTTATATACCGCCTTTTCACTGCAAATCTGAGTCTTAAAGCGGTTTACAATTGTTAATGCTAGAGGGGAGCGTTTATATGAGTGACAGATAAATGTTTGTGCCAAAAGAGTTCCTGATGTTAGCGTGGCTGGATCTAAAAACAACTCCAAGTCTGTTTTGCAGGAATAAAGTATATAAATGTTGCATTATAGGTCTTCTTTAAAATGTGCATTCCCTGATGGTTAAGAGGATTTTTCTGGATCAATGTGTTGCATGCCTTCACCAGTACTACGCTGCTACTTTAGAAATCTGTTTCTTGGATTGGAGCTTGTACCGCGTTCATAT